ATCTCCCTCCACCATTCTACACACTTCCATCCCTTAGTATAAATACTAGCTAGTCATGGAGGGACAAGGTAAAAAAAACAAATAATAATAATAAAAAAAACATAGATAGAGATAGGAGCATAGTTTTAAAAACCGGACCGGACCGGCCGGTTCGGACCGGGAACTGGTGAACCGGACACCAAACCGGTCCGGTCCGGGCAACAAGACCGTATCTGCATTGAACCGCTAAAAACAGGATGGAACCAGATAAAACCGGCCGGTTTTACCGCCGGAACCGGGTTTCAAATTCTTTTGAGAAGGTTTTTAAAAACACACCTCTTGGATTCAAACACACGACCACAAGGCTGAAAGAAGCCTTCACAAACCATCTCCGCCACAATGGCTTGTGTGTACTCTATGCTATTTTCCTTTAATATTATTTAATAAAAATATTCTCTATCAAAACTTTTAAAATATACTATATAGTTTTTTTAACTAAAAATCAAATCACTTTTTATTTTTTAATTTTTTAAATAAGTAAATTTTATTTTTTATTTAATGACACAACTCAAGTAAATTAAATTAAATTATAAATCTAGTCAAACATCAATTCTTTATTTATAAATAAGGGAACTATATTATTTTATTTACTCATATACTCTGTATTAGTTTTTTTAAAGTCAATGAAAAGTGTGTGTATGTCTCTATATATATATATATATATATATATATATATATGTATATATATATTAAAAATGTTTGAACCACTGGTTCGACCAGTAAACCACTGAACCAGTGCCTTGACCGGTTCGATGACCGGTTCAGTTCTGAAAACTATGGATAGGAGGGTTGCTTCGGGGAGGAGAAGCAGGAAGGTGTCATCTTGTTGCCCCGTCGAAACTGTGGACTTACGAGGTGTGCCGTTGACCCTAACCTTTAGATATATATTTCATGTTAATATATTTTTGTGCACTTTCCTTTCATTTAATTAAAACCTGAATTTACTCTTTTAGATAATAAATTAAAAGAGAAAGATAAGAATCATAATAATCAAAAATATATTATCATTATTATTGTTGTTGTTATTATTATCATTAGTACTTTTTTTTTTTATAAAAAAAAATATTATCATAACCGAAGGTAAGGAAAAATGATTGGTTGTTATAATGATTAATATATACGGCAGTAGTGGAATTCATGGAAAAATAGAGCATATCAATTCACGTATACAGAGTATATGTATGTTAATATACTTTTAACCAAATAAATATGTTTGAATGATTTGTGAATAAGTACGGTTAATTTGTTTTTTTTAATCCAAAGGGTAAAAAAAAATCTAACACAGATGTGTAGCTCTGCACATTAATACATACACACAAGTACATGGACATGACTGAACTTAACCTTTTGGTACATAACACTTTTTCGGTTCTGTATAGTATTATTAATATTACTATTATTAGTATTACCATTTTATTATTTTAATAAATATGTGTTTTATATGGAACCGAATGCAAGCATGATTAAGTAAATAAGTTTGTTGTGTTTTTGTCCTAGATGTTATAAACAGTGATGTTTGGTCAACAAATATGTGGGTAAGAACTAATACACCTTCGAGGCCTAAGTAGGCAGTAAGTAAGGACTTATTGGCCATGCAACAGTAAAATATTTTGAAAGAAGGAGATGTGGTTCGAGTAATTTTTTTTCCCGAAATGATTTATGCTTGGAGGCATAAAAAGTGATTTATTTAAATGACATACTAGAGTTAACCAAAATAGCTAGTGGACGAAGTAAAAGCTTCAGAGTTAAAATAACGACATACCCTGACCATGTATTGTCACGTTTACCAAGTGGTTTAACCACACGTTATAAGACTGGATCGTATGTGTCCAAGTGGATGAGCCTACAAATAATCATACCACAACGTGCGCACGAGAACCCAACAATGACCCCGTGGGTCTAGGGTTCACTTCTGATTACTGGACCCGAGGTCACGGGGAGGTATCCGAAGTAAAACTACGAATCGACTAGTGCGGTGTTCCAGCCTAGTCACGGCTTAGTCTCTAGTAAAGGGTTAACCTAGTAGGTCAAGTGTTTTCTAAATAACTTTTCAAAGTGAGATTATTTACTTAATGATTTTAATTATGCAAAAAACTCATAAAACATGAATAACTTAAAATGCCCAAAAATATATTTACATGTTATATATATGTCTATTTGTTATTTGCCACTCAGCTTTTGCTGAGCGTGTAGTGTTTAACTGCACGCAGGTACTAGCAAGGAAAACAACTGCTTAGGAAGAAAGCATGGACGTGGAGGCCGTGCCGAAGAAGTTCCTTTTTAATATTTAATATTGAATAAAACGTCGAACTTAATTTTACTCTTTGAGCTTAAACCCAAGGTTGTATTAACTATGGATGTTTTACTTAAAGTTTATGCAGAAAACGTTTTTTTTAAAATTCTCTTTAGCTATCAAAAGGAGAATATATTTCGAAAAAAATGATATTTTACAAAGTAACCCGGTTTTACTAACATTCTAGTCTGGATGATTCGGGTCATCCAGGGTGGGGTGTTACAGAGGTCTTACGTAAGATTTTCCTCGTCAAAACTTTAGAAGGTTCTATTGTGTTTGATCTATGTAAAACTTACCATGATCTAGTGGAGGGTTGTTACACGGACGTGGGCCTCGCACACGTAGGAGATTCAACTCCAAATTGCGTAAACAAATCTGTGTGTGTCTTTTTACTATTTCTGCTCTGTGTGTGTTTGCGTGAGTGTTACAGCATTGCATTGGACACTTGAAATTGTCAGATAAATTATCACATAGTGCACAACTCTCTTTGTGCGTTATATTCTATGTGAATAAGAGCGTAAGGCACGTCTAATAGAGATTTCAAACCAGACGAAAAAACAATGAGTCATGATCTTATTAAATTAAATTATACACCGTATAAACCATTTTATTTATAATATAAATTAATATTATAATAATACGCATAACAAAATTATAATACTATAATTAAATATCGTAATTGTTGGGGGAGAAGCAACAAGTAGGATGCACCACCTACAAGGATCAACTTCAAGACAACCAACCAAACACTTAACCCAATTCACCACTATTGATTAACCAAGCACATAAAATCAGCAACACATCAAATAAACCACAACCAAATATGAAGAACAAAGATGCAAACGACACACGATTTTTATACGTGGAAAACCCCTTCGATGTGAAGGATAAAAACCACGGGACTTATAGGGAGTCCGCCCTCTTCTTCTCTTATTATGC